TGACCTGAAACTTGGAATCCTCCTGCCTCAACCTCCCAAGTTTCTGGGATTGCAGTCCTATGCCACCATTACCTGCCTAGCTGCTACCATTTCTTTTTGAGGGGACCCATTATTAGTCTTATGTCTGGAAAGGATGACTTAGAAGAGCCAGTTACAAAGTCAGGATTGGCAGGTTAATTTCACATACAATTGGACTTCCATGAAATTAGAGTAGCTGTGAAAGTGGGTAGGGTAGAGAACTAGAAAGGATTTGAATGGGCTTGCAGTAGATAATTCAGAATGCAATAGTAATTTGTGTGTCTTAGGAGAGTTTTTAGATGATGTCTTTTTAGCTTTGGGAAAAGAAGGAATTGTGTTGAAATTGAATTTTATTAATTTTATGCTGTTGTCTTTTCTGCAAATATTAGGAGGTAGTATGGCAAGTAGATGATGACACAAACACTGACAACTCACACAAAGTGGTTATTTTGTGCCAGGTACATTCACTCTTTTACTCCCTGCCACCACCTTCATCAATTCACAGATGAGGAGACTGAGGCCAGAGAAATTAAGGAGATTGCATCAGGTCACATAGCTACTAAGAGTGACAGCCAGAATATCAATAAAACCTTATTTTTATTCAAATATAATATGATTAAAGGCAACTCCACAAACATCATTGGGCTCAAAGAAGGGTGTGCGTTATACTTCTGAAATGGCTTTTCAAATAGTGACATTTTAGGCAGAATTTAAATTCCTACAGGTTTAACCTGTTTTCTAAAGATCTGGGTCTGATTTTATACAAAGACATTTTTCAAAGTTTTCTACATGGCTCTGATTTTGAAGGCGTCTTGTGGCTCAGATTTCTGTCTCTTGTGGAACTTCAATTCAAGGTGCTAACAATTAAGGTTGATTTTGAACATGACTCCTGAGGTACAGCATGCCCCCTCCTCCACAGCAGCCTTTAGCAGAGGCCCAAGACCTCTGTGCTCTCTCCAAGACAGCTCTCCATTGTGTTCTGCAGGGCAGGTATGACATCAATTCAAAGCTTCCACATTATTTTTCAGATTTGGAAGCTGAAAACATTTGATCGATAAGCTAAAAAATAGCCTTGTATTTTTCTGATTATTAGACCTTTCATAGCAACTCAAAATTAGTCAAAAAGAAAAGCATGTATTACAATTTATTTACATTTGCTTTATACAAAGAATTCAATGCAAAATGTCATATACATAATGATATAGATTTTTAAATAAACCAAAGTGGATTTTTACGCTAAAAAAAAATCAAAGCATGTATTAGAAACTTTATAGTACAGAAAAATTGCTCTTTTTTTTTTGGTCTTATATTACAATATCTCATTCACACTTGTCCAAAAAACTCTTTCTCTCCCACTATGTAAATACTCTTTTTTTTTTTTTAATTCACAAAGCGTAAACTTTCTGATGGATTCCTGCTATCCACCCAGGCTTAAAAGAGTACTTTTTTGTAGTTTGTACATATCAAATTGCTTGGATTGTT